CCTAACGTATTTGTATTTACCAGTTGTTCTTAACGCAATCAATCAATCATACACATCATTATATTTTATTACAATAACAATAACTCATAAGATTATCAGTACAACACAACTAAATACAAGAAAAAAATTACTAATTTATACTTAATGATAACTAATAAAATAAATGACGAGAGGATCTAGTTCTACTAGTTGAGATCAGTGAAATTGGGGGCATTTCATCTGCTGATGGCGCCCCCATACATTACAAGCGTAAATAAATATAAAAAAAGTAATCAGACCAATGCTTATATGGGCAAAGAAAGAAATTCCGGCAGTCAAGTAATAGCTGTAGTGTGAGAGGAGGCAAGTATGTTTTGAAAACAACATTTGTGTTCTCTAAAATTATCCGTAACTGATTCATAATCCATTATTTCATGTATTAAATGTTAATAAATATACATATATATACATATATATATCTTCTATTCATGTGTATACATCTTCTGTGTCATGTTTTCTTTTCATTAATTACATGTAAAACTGTTAATGTTTTAACTATTCCACAAAATAAAAAAGCTAAAGATGTTTGATTTGGGTGGAAACTGGGATATCTAAGCTACAAGTGCTTGAATCGACAAAGTCTACAGTTTCCCACTTCTGACGTCTATTAAAAAATATTTTATTATTAAAAGTTGAAAGCTGGAGAAGCATCAGAGGCCAATAGGCATAAAACTTGTTTTAATTATAGACAGATTAAGAGGAATGTGGGAAAACATATCTGCAGTTTGTGTAACCAATGTTTTGATTACCTTCAATGAGCAACAACTTGAGCACAGTATTTTTAACCATGCAGAAACTGAATGGTGTGAGTCTACTTGGCTGGTCCATGTACTTTGAATTTTGCTATCTCCATTTTCACATACTTAGCCTTGGTGTATCACACAGCTCAAATGAGGATTGCAAAACTAGTATTGCATAGGCAAGAGAAACAATCTCATTAATTATAATTATCATAACCTTCTGTGCTCAGTATGTTGAAATACAAAGGACTGAAATGCATGTATCATGGGTGTATCAATACTCATTCAACAGTAAGAATATGTGAGTTTTCCTTTTGAAATGTGCACTAGCTATTTTTTCTGATGCATTCTAAATTTCAGTAGTAAAACTGGAATACTAAGCAGCAATCTGCTAGTTTTCTAGCATTACTTTTGAGCTATGTTTAACTTAATTACACAAAATTGTAATAATTAAAGTTTAGGATCTGAAAATTCAAATTGAACTTTAATAATTTTAAAAAGAGCAGAACTTAAATATGTATTTATTTATAATTACATTTTAGGCCCTAAAAATTCAAATTAAAGTTTAGTAATTTTACAGAAGGACAGAATTTAAAAAGTATTTATTAAAGGGGTCTTAAAATTTGGAAGGAAATTATTATACTTCTTCCCTAAATGACAGTTATTTGAAATATTCCAATATTCTTTTTTTCCTTCTAGTTTATGAATTCGGTATTGTCACAATTAATTCTAAATTACTAAAAAGCTTTAATTTTTAAGTGTATTGTTTTTCTTTTAACACTGTATAAAATCTTTTACCGCTCTTCTGGATTAAGAGATTTCCATTTTGAAATCAGTCCTGGTTCACAGTAGTCTATTAGGGCACTATAGGGGGAAAAAAAATTATTTATAGTCATTTTAAACTTTTTCTTCTAGTAAAACATGTCTAATTTCCAAACAGTTCATACATATATAAAAATATATTTTCATGAAATCAAAAACATAGGACAAACAAATATTAGAATAATAATTTGACAAATTTTTCTCCTTTAAGTTGCTTTTAAGTGTTCATTGTAATATATTTACACTATATAAGCCAATACAAACAGTTGTATTTCAAACAGTTCCTTTTCCTTAGTGTTTTGAAAAAACAACCTATTAATGAGTTAAAATATCTAATAGTTAGGTAGCTTGTGGTGTTGGTAAACTGTTTGTCGTGTATTTTTGAAAACTGCCCAATTGGAAAGACTAATATTTTCTAAATCTAAAACTGTGCGAGTGTTTTAAAAAAAGCCATGTTAAACTGCCATAAAATATATAGTTTCAATATAACTTTAAGCATTCCTTGTTTATCTATCAAAAAGTTGATCTGTATTTTATATATACAAAACAAACTTCTGTTCTATAGTGGCAAGGTACAATTTTCAACACCTGTAAATCACAAAATTAAATGACGCTTTTAAATTATTTTACTTTGTAAAACTCTCTGACAGTAACTTATATAAAAGATGCATACTTGTTTCAAACTTCAAGTCAGTTTTAGCATATGCAACCCTGTAGCCACAATATTCAATTTCAAAGCCTGATACTATGTATATCCTGTAACTGGCACAACTTTAACCTACAATTCAGTCTCGTTCTATGCTCATTCCTTCAATAGGTCACCAAAATCATTTAATTCTTACTATAATTCTGTTACTCAGTCACTTCTAACTTATTATGCAGTTAATCAAAATTTACATTAACTTAAATGACAGGAAGTAGGATATATATATATATACGCCCCCCATTCTCTATACTTCTATGGGTAACCTTTACAATTGACGTAAATATTATGGACAGCATCAAACACTAATCAAAAAGTACTGAAAGCTAGGAAACTGCTATAAACATGTGTAGTGGATTATCATGCTAATTCTTCAGGACTTTCAAATAACTTTAATACAAAAATTAATGCTTGTGTTACTCATGAAAATTAATCCTGAGACAAAACAGCAATCATACTTTTTTTAAACTCAAATGATTTATATTGCAGTAGTTCACTATAAAATCACAATTTAAACTTTCAAAAAAATGCAAACAACTTAAAACATTTCAAACATACCTGAGAGCTATGCCATTGTTCCAATCTCTTGTAAAGTTGGTGATATTCAAGTCTGGTAGAGTAGACTGCAACCATGCCAGCATTAGCTTCCTTGGTGGGAAATTGGTTCGACCAATTTGGTATCTTAAGATCAGAGACCAAATTAATCCCAGTATTAACTTCAGGTTTCCTTCTACTATGTCTGTGTTACCTATAATAGGTTAAGTGTAAAACGACATAAAATGTTTAAAAAATTAACATATATTACACTCCAATTTGAGATAAACAATTACAAAACTATTTGTAATGATTAAAAACAGAATCTAACAAGTTCTAAGAAGGGCTCTAAATTAATACAGTAAGGATTAAAATCTAAGTACAAAATTTCTCTGTTAAACTCTAAGCCATTTAAAGTTACAATGGGAAAAGTCTATATGTGATTACATTTGTAATAATTCTGATCTTTCAACAATATATGGCAGATAAAAACTAAACAGTTATTAAATGTTACACTGCATCACATACCAAGTTGGTTCAAATGCTGCAGTTATTAGTGGTGTTTCTGGTTACTAACACATGTGATATATGTAATAATAACTGGATTTATTTAATTTAAACATATTTCACATGTTAAAAACTTGGTGAATTAACTTATTTTACATTTTCTACTAGTTCACATATCTTTGACACTGAACTAAGAAAGAGTGTTCAATGTATTTGGAATCTTTAATTGTTGTTTCAGCAGCTGGACATTTGAAAGCATCTGCATTTTAATTCACTAATCAACACAAATTAGATCAATTCATGTTTTAACTACAGATCTAAGCCTGACAGAAACAGCATGCATGTGGAACAAAATGAATTTTAACCACTGTTTCTATGTTTACAAGAGCAGTGTGACATTGTGCATTGTGACCAGTTTATTTACTTTCATGATCACTTTGATGGTTGTATTTTTAGTATAATGCAATATTTTTGTATGAATTTTGTCAGCTTTTAACATTTTCTTAACCCTAGAACATCTACATAGGGTCACTATGACACCATACAAGTTAAACCAGTATACTAAACTAACCATGCACACTGGCGTTCTAGGGTTAAAAATACCATTTAGGCATAAAACTTTAAAAAAAGCAGTTTTTAATAGCAGCAAAAATGGTATCCAGTCAACGTACAAGTCTAATCTATCTAAAAGTGTGAACTGACATTTTATTTGAATTACTTATATGCCTCATTCATAACCACCAAAATTCAAAACTCCTTATTGCATGTGAATTGTTTCATACTGTTTGCAATTATTAATGAACAAAAACCTCCAACATTGATATTTTAGTGCTCATTAGTTTGAACAAACAGATTTGTTTCATTTTGATCTATAAATCTTTCACTTATTTGTTTTGTACAGGTAAAGAGATACTTCACATTAAATATTTCTCTGTATGTGTAAACTGACAAGAAAATCCTAGATTAATTTTGATTCTCAAATTTCTGTTCTCTTTTCGACTCCTTAACCTCTATTAATGTATGTAAACTGCTTTAATAGACTTTGATCACTTCTTTTTTAATAAAGCAATTTCACCTTTATTATTAGTTATTACTTGTATAAAAATTGGATTATTTTAATACTTCATACTTATTTTAATACTTTTTTATTATGGGAAAACAAAAAGTTTTTCCTCTTGTGCTTGTAAATTTGTTGTTTCTGTAAAGCTGCTAAAATAAAATAGCATGAAAAATAAACAATTGTTCATAAAATACTGATATCAAGTAATTCTGTAAATCAGCCAACATGCCAGCTCTACTGTATCATACGACCCATATTGGCAGAGGGTTTTGCATTCGTTCATAAGAGATTTTTCTATATTAAATCTTGCAGTGATTGCAATATGAAAGGGTAAATTTTTGAAATTGTGATAAAAATGTCATTATGATAGTGAGGGATTAGGCCTGACGTTTGGATTAAAATTTGTTTATTTTTCCTGGGAAAATTGCAGTTGTTTTTTTTACACATATAGATAAGATACTTTTTCACTGGCTATTGTACTGTATATTGCACTGGTTAATAAAATTATTCTCAGGTATGTGTAAGTCAGATGGTATTAAATTTTGCCTTACTTTTTTTTTGCAAATTCTTAAAATAATTTATGCTGACATTTGGAGTAAGAGGAGAGGTGTCAGATACATCGATTCTGGTGTTTTTTACTGCTATTTTAAAGTTTGACCCTTACCTTAACTGTTTATTCTTACCATGTGTCAGGAATAGAATATAACACATACAGAATTCAAATAAAATATGAAAAATCACATGAGAATGAACAGCTACAAACAGAAACAGAGTTGGATACAGGGTATAGAAATGAACAAAAGCAAAATTTATTCAAAATCATAAAGAAACAAGTCACAAAAATATAGGTAAGAGAACTACAAAAACTCAAAACTGATCACAGGCTGATAGAAAAAGCTTTGAACTGTGAGTATATAACAATTCAAAAATAAAACGTTAAACTTGTACATTTCTAATATGGTATGCCATGAACTCCCAGGCACTATTTTGTCCAAAGCTTAACACCAGGGTAAAAGCCCCAACAGACCATCTTGCACTATCTTAAAAAGCGTATATATATATATTCTTGGCGGTTAACTGTAACCACAGGAATGCTAAGCGATAAATACACAATACATAAGAATAAACACACACAGACTCGATATTAAATCGACAACAACAAACTATCACAATACAGCGGAGTTTTTAACGCTTCAAACTATTCGGTGCACTTTTCTTGCGGGTCTGTGACACAAACTTACTATTGAGAAAAAATAAAATTGTCTACAAAAAAGGTACATTTTCCAATTTACTTTTGTATTGTTGTTTTGCCAGACTAAAGTTTGATGTCACGTGATAAATGCGTTGTTTAATGACTGGAACCTTCTTGAAAGTTTAGGAAAGAATTTGAATATGTGTTAGTGTATAGATGACGAAATAGAGAAACGACAAACTTCTGCAAGTTCGAGAGAAGTTGATAGTAAGCGAAATTGTTGTATTATGTTACATAAGTGAACCCACAAGTGTTTTGCTTAGTTCTTGGTGAGAATCCGCCAATATCGTAGCCATTACTTTTCTTTCGTATTGGACAGACCATCACGGGACGATAGTCACGATACCATTATCCCTGCCTTTCGCTGAGCGGTACTGCCACTTTCGAAACAAGAGCAATTTTTTCCACTACCGTTCTCCGCCCGCACTAATGCCGTACATCACCAATCACAATTAAGCACTGAAAATGTCATAGTTGCTGTCTTTTACTAAAATATCAAGAACTCATATTTTTATTTTTGACGTACCCTCTAGAGCAAGAGTCAGTAAAATGCATTTCCTTTGCATCCTCGTCATTGGACGATTAATATATTTACATGTATTATATTTTCAATAAATTTTCAAATGGCCAATACAAATTTTCTAGTATCGCGAAATATATACTGCCCTTGTGTGATTAATACGAGAATGGTGTAAAGCGGGAAAATTACCAATCATACTACGTTGCGTTTGTTCTGTTCCCTACCTTAGGTCTATTATCAAACATAAATTAAATAATTTACATTATCAATATATTACACTCATTGTAAAACGTTCAGATAATTTTATATTTTTGTTGTAACGTTCTTTTTTGGTGTGTGTGTGTGCATTTCCTCGGTGGCACGGCGACATGTCTGAGGACTTTAAACGCTAGAAACTAGGTTTCGATACCCGTGGTGGGCAGAGAACAGATAGCCCATTGTGTAGCTTTGTGCTTAAACTACTAACAAACCAAAAGCATCTTTTAGAGTATTCGGTATAAAAAAAGACTGCAAAAGTCCAGTTCACTTTTTCGACCAAGTAGGGTCCGTTTGTTTGTTTTGAATTTCGCGCAAAGCTCCACGAGAGATGTCTGCACTAGCCGTCCCTAATTGAGCAGTGAAAGACTACAGGAAAGACAACAAGTGATCACCGCCCACTCTTGGGCTACTTCTTTTACCAACGAATATTGGGGTTGGCCGTAACTTTATAATGCCCTCACGGCTGAAAGAGCAAGCATATTTGGTGGGACCGGGATTTGAACCTGCGACCCTCAGATTACGAGCTAAGCGCCCTAAACACCTGACCAAGCCGGGACAGTAGAGGGTCATCGATAATAAAAAAAAACATAGTTGAAAACTATTTTTATCCATATAAACTTACAACTAATTCCCACTATAAGGAGATATCTTGCCTTTAAGGATATTAAATGGTCAAAGAAAACAAAAAACGAGTGGGGGTGGAGGCTAGGTGTGGATAACGTACCCACGGAATATAGTTTTGCACTTTGGGCTGTGGGTTGCTTTAACAGCGACCTAGGCCATTCACTCCCTACATTTAGGGGGTACTCAAGTTTGTTCCACATTTTAAAAACTGACATTTATATTGAGGATTACTTATTTCTGTTCCCAACACTATCTCAGGATTTGATGGGTTTTATGTTCTCCCTATATCAAAATTTTATACACTCCTATGTCGGGTTTAAGTATTTTATTTCCTCTAGGAGCATATAAATTACATCTGAAGGTACAAATTTAAAAACCCGTGGTGGGCAGAGCACAGATAGCCCTTGTGTAGCTTTGTGCATAATTAAAATAAACAATAAACAAATTTAAAAATAAAGAAATTGTAATAACTACCGTATATATATATATATATATGTTATTATTATTACTACTACTATTAAGTTATACAATAACAACAATTAACGTGGGAAAATAACATGTAAATTACCTATAAAATAGGTTATAAGGTTGCGGGATGTGTGTGCAAAAAAATCACATGTTTAGAAGGGTGCATATAAAAGTTTGAGCACCACATTTACTTCAAGGTTAATTGATCACATTAGTTTGAACATATTTTATTTATTGACATTTACAAACAGTATTTCTAAAATTGTAAATGTCATAATTAACAACAATCAAATAATAAAAAGAATACTATTAATTACATTGATTTAATAAATATTTATTATTTACGATATATATAGTCAAACAACAGATACGAATTTTTAAATCACACTAGCTTCGAGCAGAACAGACATTATCTACTATAAGCATAATTTCTTTGTTCAGTTGACAGTGCCACCTTATGACTTGTTCTTTCATAGGATTGGTCGGCTGTAACATATATAAAGCGTTGTTTTAGCAAGTATATCA